CTGAAAGGATAGAACAGTTAAAGACATTTTTACAGCTGGATATTTTTTTACCCTTCTAATAACCCCTTTGCACACGTGAGTGTACAAGTCATTTTTCAGAGGGCAAAGCAGAGTAACAGGAAACTCTCATAGTTTCTTTCCTCCCTGATTCCATTTGGTCCACTAGCTTGCTGGTAGTTTCAGAGAAAGGCTTTATCTTTTCTTAGACAGACTTTATTTTCAGATAGCATTGTTCTTAAGTGCTCTTTCTGAGAATCAGGATTGTAAGGATTCCATGATGTTTCCAATTTCCTAACCCCTGATTTCCTAAATGCCTTTGATCTCTCTACTAAACTGCCCAGGCAGTGGGCTGCATGAAGGGAACTAATGCTGCGTACTCTTGGATTATCCCTGGGTCAATAGTACCTGCCAGTCCAGATCGTATTTGGTGCAAATCTGTTACTCACCTTGGCTTTCCCAGCACTGAAATGTGGAGGCAAAGATCTTGAGGCCACTGTTGTCCTAGCTCTTGTCTGGGCCAAGTTACCTGAGAAAGAGACCATAATGCACATAAATCAAAGGAAAAGTTAAGGAATAGGATCATGAGTGATTTTTTCCCCTTTGTGTCCTTATATTTTTTTGAATTTTCAAAATAATTTGCTCTGAATTTTAAAAATGTGGAAGCTTTTGAAACTTTGATATAAATTATAAACTGTAATAATTATAAGTTTAAAATAATTTATAATTTATAAATGAATTTATATTAGTTTTATAAGCAAAAAGAAAGAACATAAAAGTATTAAATTTATGTTCACTGAACAAACTAGAAATAAAAGGAAATTACCTCAACATAATAATGGCCATTTATGAAAATCTCACAGCTAAATGTCAGAGGCATTTGAACCAGAGCAACTCCATCCTGATAGAAGCTGAGTGAAAATAGGGCAGAAACCTACTGGGCTGCATTACCGGGAGGTTAGGCATTCTTAGCCATGGATGAGACAGGAGGTTAGCACAAAACACAGGTCATAAAGACCTGGCTGATAAAACAGGTTGTGTGTTTTTTTTT